TTTGATTACAAATTTAAAGCCATGTTTGCCTTTTCTTTTGTACAAAACAAAACAAAAAACATGGCTTTGCCATGAACATGTGAATGATGCCGTGTTCGTTTACTTCGGCAGTTGAAGGTCATTTTCCAAACCAAAGCACCAAACCATATGCAGTGTGCATTTGAGAGGAGCGATATACTAAACTCATGCATTTGAGAAGGGCGATATACTAAACTCACACACCGTGTATAGTGTGTGATCAAACTCGAAGACAGAAATACTCAAATGCAGGGAGCAGTAATGCCTCAAATCCAATTAAAGTTACAAGAATAAATATGCAATAAACATTTAAAATGTGGGGGGGTTGGATAAGATCAACCCATCAAAGGCATTGCAGATTTGATTTTGACAATGCAAAATGCCAATCAAAGTTTGTGGGAACCACCACCAATCAGCCATGGAAAAGCTTAACTTCGTGATATAGACCAGCATATAATTAATAAGTGGGCTCCTGTGCTCGTCGAAGTTTTTCTTGTTTTGTGGCTCGTATGCTTCAATCTTTTTCTTTTCCTAACAAAATCTCGTGTCTGATTTTTTTCACAATGAAATGGAAATGAGCCTTGAACTTTTGCCTGCTGCATTATTTAGATTCTGGTTGGAATTTTAAGTCCAGTCCACCACCGCCAGACTCAACTGCTCATTATGAATTAGTCAGACACATGCTAAGCAAAGCCTATATGCTCTCACTCATTTTTCTTTTTGTGTTTTTGATGAATTATTTATGCACATGTATCAAACCGTAATTAGAAAAGGAGGCAAACAGTATCCTTAACATGAAGGATGAACTTGACATTCACCATGGTAAAAGGGAAGGATGTAAATTGTAATTAGGGTAGGGTTTAGTTATAATTACTTACCAACTGGGTTTTTGTAAACAAAATAAAATTTGCAGAACAGAATATTAGTGGCAAACTATAAGTAGAATTCTAGCATTTACTTCACAGGATAAGCTGCCACTGGAAAAGGACAAATTGTTTATCAGATAGATGCCAATCAATCAATGTATTATAAATCATAATGAATAGAAAGCAATTTTTTTCCATGGCATTGTCAAGAACAATTCGACATCAAATATTTAATCATCCATGTGTTTAATTTCCATCACTGTTCTTATTACAGTACCTTTTTCTTTTCCCAAATTACAGCTGTTTTGTATTAGCAATTACTAAAAGCCGTACAAGTTCACAATTGCCTCACAATTATAAAAGAAAATTGATCCCTCCACTGGAGGTAAATTGGACTGGCATCCTTTAAGTTCACCTACTGCTACTGGAGGTGGCAGAGTCCTCTGTTTTCTGGGAGTCATAGCAGCAGCATTGAAGTTCACAAAGGATTTTATGTTTAAACACTCCAGCCAATCATCACAATGGATCTGAGAGCTATAGTGGTAGGCATATCTCTGTTTGTGTTCAGCATTGGAGCTGAAGGGCAAGGGCTTTCCTATAATTTCTATGAGAACTCATGCCCACAAGTTGAGGCCATTGTTAGAGCTGCCCTCCAACCTATTTTTCTCACTGATCCCACTGCTCCTGCAGCTCTGTTGAGGCTCATGTTCCATGATTGCCAAGTTCAGGTCTTCTCTCTCTCTCTCTCTCTCTCTCTCTCTCTCTCTCAGTTTAGGAATTTGAGACATGGGTTAGTTGAGATATAAGCCCAAACATTGAGGGTGAAGTGCATGGCTTAAAAATGGAAACTCTTCAGTCTATTTTTTATTAGTTATATTTTTTCAATAAATGATGGTTTGATTTTGTAACAACAGGGCTGTGATGCTTCAATTCTTGTGGATCCAAATGAGAACACTGTGTCATCGGAGATGGCTTCAGGGAAAAACTTTGGTGTCAGAAAGAGAGAGTCAATCAATATTCTCAAGTCAATGGTTGAATTAGAATGTCCCCAACAGGTTTCTTGCTCTGATATTCTTGTCTTAACTGCTCGGGAGGCAGTGTCTGCGTCAGGAGGGCCACAGATAAAGGTTCCTTTGGGAAGAAGAGACTCTTCTGTTCCTCCAAGCTATAAGCTTGCAGATTCTTTGCTTCCTTCTGCCACCATTGGAGTTGATGGCATGCTTCAACTATTTGCAAAGAAAGGGATGACAGTCGAAGAATCTGTGGCCATAATGGGTAACAAGTACATGAACTTGTTCTATTGGGTTTCTTCAAAACAGTGTGCATTAAAATTCTTTTTATGAAACTAACATGTCCAAAAACATATTATTGCAATTTTGCAGGCGCGCACACACTAGGGGTGACACATTGTTTGAACATTCTAAAACGTCTAAGCGGACTTGATCAAGGTGGGCGTGTAGAAGGCATGGCGCCCATGTTTGAAGCATTCCTAAGGATAAACTGTCC